AGGGAGGAGATGGGGATGTGCTCTTCCTATTAACAGAATAGATTAAAAAATTCACAAGCTTAATTCTCTGGTTTTTTGTACTATTTACAAGGAGTTGGTGGATCATCTTTGGGTTTAATTCATTCTATGCAGCTTCTCAAGCTCCCTATGTGACCTTGCTACTTAATAAATTTGTTCCCTCTTTCTTTTTTTTGTTTTTTTAATGCGCCGAACACAGAACTCTCATTGCCACCCCCGCATTGATTTCACCTGTGCCTTTTGTGGGTGTAATTTCCGGGCACCATGTACGAAACATGTGAGACTATACTCACTCCTTTGACCCTGGGATCTGGGCCCTAGAGTTATAGGCAGTTGGGCAGTCTCTGTTAGCCACCGAAAAAGAAAATATGTTGAGAAAACCCTGGCGCAATGGAAACTGTTAAGTCAAAAGTAGTAAAGCAGGCCCAATAATAAAGACTGGTTAGCTGCAAATACACTTTGATGACGCCTTGGAAACTAAAGAACTGGGAATAATAACAGGGGTTCTGATCCTTGCAGTTTAGTGACAGGTATGCTTGTTTTTGTGAATAAAATCCCTAGACTTGATCACTGAGACCTTGGTGTTGTCTCACACAGCGCCCAGGTCTGCATTGACAGTGGCTTGCTCTGCCATGGGCATTGTGAGAAGGATAACTGACAGTCACAATAGGTTCAGGTCCATCTTGTGCCTCTTGCGGCTAACTAGTCAGTTCCGCCTAACACCCCCCTGCACAACGGTCATGGGTGTAGCACCTGTTATGTAAAGCTTGCGTAAGTGTCTGAGACTTCGACTGAAAGGGTATTTGAAAGGTTGGAGCATGGTCGGAGGCCAAGTCATGAGGTCAGTCGATGGCGCTGAGACATTGAGTGTGGTTTTGTGAGAATGTCTGCGATCTGGTCACTGGTTGGTACATAGCGAACTGTGATCTCTCCAGTGGCGACACCTTGTTGGAGGAAATGAGCACATATGTCAAAGTGCTTTGTGCAAGCATGTGTGAGAGGGTTTAACACTTGTGCAATTGCAGATTAATTGTCCTTGAGGATTGGTAGTGGCTGCTGTGCAGGGAGTTGCAACTCTGATAATATGGATAGGAGCCATTGTGCTTCTTGGAAGGCTTCAGAAAGTGAGTAGTATTCTGCTTCTGTGGAGGATAGCTATGAGATCCTCTACATCTCTGAAGGCTCATCCCATTGTCTAATGGATGGGGAAAGGACAAGTCATCAATGATGGGGAACTCCTGGTTCAAAGGTCCAGTACCCTGGTGTTGGTGTTAATACTACTCTCTATGTATGCTCTGAAAGCACAGATATACCAATCAATAACTGTCATGAGGCAGTGCTGACTCATGAGTGCCATAACAGCCATGGACAAACATACAGAGACAAGTCTCCACATGAATGAATCATGGGTGCCATAGGCATGAGATGACAGGGTTAAACCCTGGAGCGCCCATACAGGACGGAATGGTATCCGACATACCAACTTGATGTGGAAGATGAGACAGGCTTGACTTGAAGAGGAACCTGATGGTGAAGTTGTGCTCAAAAGATGGGTGCAATGGCAGATTACTGTAAGTAACAAAGAAAGCTTGGCCCACTCTGCACTAGCCTCTCTAAGTTCTCATCTCAGTAGATCCAACCTGTTATGAATCACCCTCTGGAAACCTCTGGAACCTTCTAGAACATTCCTTCATGGAACCTTGTGGAACCTTCTGGAACCTTCTTTGCTTTCCTGACTTGTCTTGTTGTCATTGGTATCATTGGTATCATTGTATTACTAATTGCTCTTTCTGGAACTTCTTTGAGTCTTGACAAGGAAGACTCCCAAAGGGTATAAAAGGGGGATGGGGGACCTGTCCCATCCCTCAAGTGAATTATTGTTTCCAATACAATCATCACTCCTCTCAATTCCTTGTCTGCCTCGCCCTGTCCTGCCCTGTTCTTAACATTATAATTCACTTCACCCTCTCTTACTACTCTCTGCCATCATGTCTGAACCAAACAACACCTTCCCTGATGCAACTGCCTTCCAAGCCTTGATGGACCAATTACAAGCCCTTTCAAGACAGACACACCAACTTCAAGAACAAGTCCTTCACCAGCAGCACCAGCTTCAACAACAACTTCACCAACAAGAACATCAAGCTCTTCCCCTGCCCCAAGCCAACCAAGCAAGAGAGCCCAAGGTTCCCAGCCCTGAAAAGTTCACTGGGCTGGCCAAAAACCTTAGGAACTTTATGGCCACTGTGGAGAATGTCATCCTTCTCCAACCTTCAAGATTTCCCAGTGAGCAAGTCAAGGTTCTTTTCACAAGCACCCTCCTGTCTGGTCAAGCTCAATCATGGTACAGATCTCTCCCAAGCACACCCACCACCCTGCAAGAGCTCTGGAAGGGGCTGGAAGCTACCTTTGGTGACCCCTACGCATCTTGGACCGCAAGATCCAAGCTCAAGCATATCAAGCAAGGAAAAGCAATCTTGTGTGGCCTACACCAACCAATTCAAGCAACTAGCCAGAGACTCTGGATACAATGCTGCAGTTCTGATGGAGCTGTACCATGATGGTCTCCATGAGTCTATCCAAGACATGCTCTCCCAGTCTCTGCACATCCCTTAGACCTTGGAAGAGTACATTCTTCTTGCCATCAAGATTGACAACAGACTCTACTCCAAGAGGCTGAAGCAAAGACAAGTAGGAACTACATCAAGACCTACCCCAGTCCCTCAAGCTCTTACAGTTCCTGAACCCATGCAAGTATGCAAGTGGATGAAGTTGAGACACTTCCTAAGGGTCCTCTGAGCCAAGAGGAAAAAACAAGGAGGGCCTAGCAGGGACTGTGTTTCTACTGTGGCTCCAAGGAACATGCTGTCAAGGACTGCCCAAGGAAGAAGCACCCAAACTTCCAGGTCCAGGCTCACTGAGGGGCAATTCCCTGGACCCTCCTCCAAGCAGCCCCTGTTTCATCACCACCACCAGCACCACAAACACCTCAGATTCCAAGCCCCACCAACTCACCATGGATGTCAAGATTCAACTCTCACCCAAGTCAACCATCACAACCAAGGCCCTTATTGACTCTGGATCATCCTGCAACATCATTGATGCCACCCTTGTCAAGTCTTGTGCCATTCCCATCATCAAGAAATCCACACCTCTCAAGGTCCACTTTTCCAATCTTGCTCTGTTCAAGGAAATCAGCCATGAAACCAAGCTAAACCTCCACATCCAAGACTTTCCACCATCCATGGTCAACCTGGAAGTATTGGATCTTGGCTCACCCACATTCTCTGTCATCCTGGGATTACCATGGCTGCAAGCCCAGAACCCTGCCATTGATTGGGTCACTGGTCAAGTCCAACCTCCACCAATTGGAACAGTCACCCAAAACTCAAGTCAAGCCTCCAAGTCTCATGCTCGCAAGTCCTTGATTCAAGGTTCACAGCCAGGTATTAAAGGTCAACCACCAAAGACAACTCCAGTGTCACCCTGCAGTTCACAAATCCCAGCCAAGATTCAAGTTCCACAGCTCACAGTCTTTGCCAAGAACAGAACTCTCAGTCAAAGATTCAAGAATCACAGTTCCCAGTCAAGAATTCAAGCCCCACTGCTGAAGAGCACAGCAACCTGGACCCATCAGACCTTTTGCTGGCATCCAAGCTACCAAAAGAATATCTCCCTTATGCTGATGTGTTTTCCAAGACCAGGACAGACCTTGAACCTGAAGGGGGAGATGGTTTCACCCCACCATCCAAGACACACCTTTCACTGCTTCCTGACAGTGTGTGGGCATATGCTATTTCCAAGGACCCCAAGCCTCACAAGATTCAAATCAGCCAAGAAGAGGAAAAACTTGAGATACTCAAGACAAGGCATGATGCAGCAACAGCTGGACACCCAGGAGAGCACAAGACATATGAGCTGGTTTCCAGAAGAGACTTCTACTGGCCAGGCATGAGGAAGCACATCAATAACTATGTCAGCAGCTGTGAAACCTGTCAAAGAAACAAATCCAGCAGACACAAGCCCTATGGACTTCTGGAGCCCCTCCCAATTGCCATCAGCCCTTGGAACTAGTCAAGGAAGAGCATTTAAAGAGACCTCAACAGCTCAATGGCCCATGAGATTAGGAATCTCAAATAGCAATACGCAATGTTGTTTGCGTGAGACCCAAGAGATGGCAGCGCCCATGAGGAAAACGACATATCCAGTGGGCAATGTGTGATCTCCAGGTTCGCCCCCATAGGATGCATCAGCGTATGCAGCTGGTTCAAGGGTATCGTTTGTGAAGCTGTAGCAGCTTGTGGCTTCGCCTGTAGAATAAACTGATGTCCCAGGTGCTCTGTACTGGCAGACTTCAAACTTACTCATAGTACGCTGCTTTTCTGTTCACCTGTATTTTGCTGCTAATTCGTCGAAATTGCATCAAATTTCACTTTATGAGAAGGCAGTCCAAACACCATTAACCAAAATTCCTATGTAATAATTAGTTGCTCTCGCCGAAAACCAACGCATTGCTTAGCTTCAAACAACAAGAGATCAAGTTAAAGTTTATCTAAAAAGGGGATATCTGGTGAGTTGGCTGAGTGGTTAAGGCGGATCTTAAGATCCATAGGTTCGAACCCCATACTCACCATTAAAGGGACAACCAGAAACAGCGTGATGCTCGTACTGTTCCAATGTTTGGCATCTCTAATATTTGCTAACTGGGATGACGTCCTCGTGGATAGGAATAGACAAAGTTCCTAACAACTGCCTGACTCTTCTCTTCACTGTTGCCTCCACACTTGCTCGTTACAACCTGGGGTCCAGTTCCCACAACACTACTGCTTTGCGCTTTTTCATCCAAGACCAAGAGCGAAACCCTCGGTGTCGCAATGGTAGGTGGCTGTCAGCAACTGTCATAGAACTCCAAGGCCCCACTTTCTAAGTGCAAGTTTAGCATAGGGACATAAGGAGAAGTGCAAACTAATTATTTTACTAAAGCTGCCGTGGCGCAACTGGTTAGCGCGTGCGGCTGTTATCAGAGTCTCTGGAAAGACACCGCAAGGTTGGTGGTTCGAGTCCACCCGGTAGCGTGAAAAGGAATAAGTAGTTTTCAGTTCAAGAGGGTTTGAACAAGCCCAAATTAACTGGACGCTGTATGTTTCTTCTTCATTATTATTCTTTTCATTCAAGGGACAACGGCGCACTTCCAGTGGGTGCCTGCCTCTGGGGACGAGGAGAATACATTTCGTCACTACCACGCATTCTCACTCGCTTCGTGCAAAGGGAGGGACAATTTGGTCCTAATTGGTGAGACTAAACTGACTCCTTTGACCCTGGGATCAAGACCCAAGAGTAAAGGAAAGCAATTAATGGGCCAAAACTAATTTTTTTGTGCTTATGTCTAGGGGATGTTTCAACCATACCACTTGCCTCGTCCATGAAGTGGTGCATCGCATTTGCACTCCCCCCATCCCTATGCAGTCTGTCAGTCTCTGTTAGTCACCAAAAAAGAAAATATGTAGGAAAACCCTGGCACAACAGAACCGTTAAGACAAAAGTAGTAAAAGCAGTCCCAATAATAAAGATGTGTTAGCCTCCAATACACTTTGATAACGCCTTGGCAACGAAAGAACTGGGAATAATAATAGAGGTCCCAATCCTTGCAGTTTTATGACAGGTACACTTGTTTTTGCAAAAAAAAATCCCTGGACTTTATCACTGAGACCTCAGTGTAGTCTCACAATTGCTTCACTTCCAGATCAGCTCTGGTCCTCTTCTTCCTCTCACAAAAAGAGCTAGGGGCAAGGGCCATAGAGAAGCTGTCACCAAAGTGGTCTGATGAAGGGGGAAGTGACTGTGGGGGACAGGCGTGAGCTGTCTGTTTTGGTAGGAAGCTGACAAGCAGGAAGCACCTGTCTGACACCCAGTGCAGCCTGTGCTGGCCCATGAGGGGATGAAGTCTGTCTATGGTGCAGACAGGCATGCAATGCCAGTCAAAACCCTCTCAGTCTGCTTTGGCAAAACGACTTTGCTCAGGAGAATCAGAGGTGCAGACAGAGCCCATCGGGGATGGCTGCACAGACAGGGTTGGAGACACATCAGCAAAGAAGGAGGTCCCATCTAACAACTTCCAAAGAGTGTTGGTGTAGCAGATTCTGGAATTCCATCGCCGATGCACAATGAACCATTCAAAATTGCGATGCTATCAAAATCTGGCGTTGCATCTGATAAAGGAGAAAAACATCAACAGGTGCCCTCACCAGGATTTGGTGAGCTGTGTCCCTTGACTTTTGTTTCAGTCAAAATCCGTTCCTAAAACAGCATAGAGCGCTAAAATCAGGAAGAAAGTTCGTTGCAAATGTACCCTGATACCAATATTGTTCTGTAGTCAAACCACTTATCCAGTTCACAATAAAAAATGCAAGGGCATAGTTTACATACCGGGTTCCCAAGAAGTCATTTTCAACGTTGTCATAATTTGAGTTGCATTGAAAATTGTACTTACCAATACCAGCGTATTGGGAATGATAGGCCTCCAGCCACCCCATGCTTTCTGCAAAACACGTAGATGATCCACATGCCACGGAGTGCCGTCGACCACCGGTGCAACCGCCTCGCCCGCATCCATGGCCCCTCGGTGATCAACCTCGTGCTCTTCCAGATGGCGAGGCTGTTCGACAACAGACTGCGCCGCCCGATTCTCGCGTGTGCGGAGGTCGAGGCGTCGACCGTGAGGGATGGATCGCTTCAAGCGGCCTTGTGGTCAGCGACGCCAAGAGACGCGGGGTTGGACGGAACGCGCTGTCCTGCGACCCCGAGGCGCAGGCGATCATTGTCGTTCTGCAAGCGTTCGTTTTCGACAGCGGCCTGTTGAGGCGGCCGAGGATTCCCTTGAGGTCGTTTTGGAGCCGGGCGAACATCGAGGCGAGGGAGGTGTGTGCCCACGCGTTGATGCGACCAGAGTCGCGCGCGAGCGCCGTCCAACCGCGGACTGTGCAGCGCGAACGCGGCGGGGCGGCGATGAGGGAGGGAGGAGGGAGGGAACGGGTATGCAGTGGCTGGGGTCCGTCCAACGCGCGCACGTGCTCTCGCACGCTCGACCGTTCGCAAGCACCGTATCTGGAGCCGCGCGGGCGGGCACGCAACGCTTCAGGCACGCAACAGCACATATGCAACGGTTACAATCAGGGCCTCTGCGTTCCCTTCCTCCCTCCCTCGTGCACTCTTCTGGGGAGTAAAGAGGGAGCGAGGCGAAGCGCGGTAAGGGTGGAATCAGGCAAAAACGCAGCCGCCTGGTAGTCGGTAAGCTCTTCTCGTCCATGAATAATTGGATTACTCAACAACAACAAACGGCATCGACGTCATCATCATGGCTGCGTCATCGTCGTCGTCGTCGTCGTCAGAGAAGCGCGTAGACGTTCTCGTGTAAGTGAGTGCAGTGAGTGAGTGAGTGAGTGAGTGCAATACGACACACGATGCACGGTGCGAGCGATGCACAGGCAGACGACGCTGCAAACGAGCCCCACCACTACAACTCCCGGGTCTGTTACTGCGGGTTGAAGTGCTGCGCCGTCCAGATCCTCTCCCCCCCACTCACCCCCACAATCATCATTCACACATTCACACGCACATACCCGCTTCTTCCTCATGACGCAGCTTCGGCGCAACCGGATTTACCGGCCAGCGCGTCGCGCGGCGAATCCGCGACGTCCTCGCCAACGGACTGGCCACGTCTGGCCCCGATCGCATAGTAACGTGGGCGATCGCCGGCCGCGATGCGAAAAGGCTGAACGGTACGAGGCCCGCGCCTGACCATCGCGATGCGATCGGGCTCCACTCCCACACACACTGTGCATCCGCTATCCACCCTTCTCCTTGCCCGCTTTCAAAAAAACGCCATTCATCCAGCTGGCCTTATCGATCGCTGACCTTGTTTGTGCTAATTCCTAAACACCAGACCTCATCAAGTCTCTGGACCTTCCCGCGTCCGTTCCGGCGCCGTCCGTTTTCGTAGCGGACGTCTCCGATTACGCCGCCGTATCGGCAGCGATCGCGCCTGCACGGGTAGTCATCAGCTGCGTTGGGCCCTTCAGGTTCTTTGGGGAACCAGTCGTCAAGGCCTGCGTCGAATTCAAAGCTGACTATGTCGACATCACCGGAGAACCAGAGGTGCTGCAATGACCTATTTGCGCAAGAAGCGCCCCCGCTGCTGAATGAGAATCTCATGATCCTGACCTCTTCCTACGCCCGGCAGTTTGCGGAGAAGATGTACCTCTCGTACCACACATCGGCGGAGGAAAGAGGCGTTGCGGTTGTCCCGTTTTGCGGTTTTGATTCCATTCCAGGTGTGTGCCTCACCCCACTTTGCTCGCATTTTTCGGGCCTTACCTTCTAACGAAAGCGGTCTTCCGGCGCCGACGCTAGGGGACATGGGCACCTTGTTTGTCAAGCAAGAGTTTTTCAAGCGCGGCTTTACCGCCTCGGTAAGTACTCTGCCAACGATTGTCCCGCAAGTGACCTGACCTTCCGCACCATTCCTCCGCCGCCTAGTCTGTCGAAATGATGATCAAAATCAAAACCGGCCCGGCGGGTTTCCGTGGAAACTTTACCACCTACGAGAGCGCGGTGCACGGTGTGGCAAACGCCGCGATGCTCCGAAACATTCGAAAGCAGGTCAAGCGACCAGCGCTTCCGATTCTGGGGCCAAAGCTGAAACTGCTCGGCGGCGCCCAGTTTAGCCGCGCGTTCGCGTCGTGGATTGTTCCTTTCATTGGTGCCGACGCTTCGGTGGTGAGTCGGGCCCCTTCCCAACAGCGCTGGTTTTCATCCGCCTTTCTGTGATGCTCTGGTGCTGATGGCAACACCGTGCCGCCAGGTCCGCATGGGACAGCAGATTACCGAAGTCCTTCGGCAGCGGGCCACGGCAAAGCCGGTCCACTCTCTGTTTCCCGTCCAGTTTGCCGCCTACCTTGGCGTCTCGGGCCTGATGTCCGTCGTCGGCCTGGCCATTTTCGGGACGGCCCTCACGTTTTTGACAAAGTACCGATGGGGCAAGGCGCTGCTGCTGCGGTACCCCCGCATTCTTCAGCTTTGGTGCGGCGAATTTCAGTAAAAACCCCCTCAGAATTTCAACTACTCACCTTTCTGCGGCTCCTCTCCGCCCCTTAATTTTATTTTTGCAGGCGTCTTTAGCAAGCAGAGCCCCTCCTCGATCCAAATCGAGCAAGCCAGCTTCGTCTCGACCTTCATCGGGCGCGGCTACAAGATGCTCCTCCCAGCCGCGGCGACGACTGACTCGCTCGCCATAGTTGATCCAGAGTACCAGATCGTGGCCAAGGTGCAAGGGCCCGAGATCGGCTACGTGACGACGCCGATCTGCGTCGTGGCGGGCGCCAGGAAGCTGCTGCAAGATCAGCGGAGGAAGGACAGGGACGTTCCGTCGGGCGTGGTGACGCCGGCGGTCGCGTTCGCGTCTACCGATCTGGTCGAGGTGCTGAATCGGGAGGGCGTCACGTTCTCGGTCGCCCAGGAGAGGGATCTTTGAGCGCGGTTTTTGCTTGCTTGCAAATAGTCTCGCGCGTGCGTGTGGATGCCCCTTTTGTTGATCTTTGTTGCGTTGAGTCTCATCTCCTTTCTTTCCTGTTTGAGCGGATCTAAAGCCTGGCTGGTCAACCACCGTTGTGTCCTTCGGAGGGAAAGGGAAGCCCGATCCAAGAAGAAAAAAAAAGTTGTCAACCCCAACCACTCGGGCACCCCACCGAACCCTTGATCGCCCCAAAACACCCCCGCGCCGGCATGGATCTCAAACGCAAGTACGGCCGCCTCGTCGCGCGGCCACCCGATGCATCGGTCACCACCGTCTCGCCGCTCCGCCACGCACCCATCAAAATCAGCCCGTCGTCGCTCGTACGGGTCGGGCCGGCGGCCGCCCCGCCGCCGCCACCGTTGCCGTCCGCGGCGTCGCCCGCTGCGGCGGGAGGCTCGGACGAGGGGACGGGGGCGTCGCGGCGTCGGGGAGATCGGGGTGTGGCGTCGGCGGAGGAGGAGGAAGGGAACGACGACGACGGCGACGGCGACGCGCGGCGCGAGG